ATGTCAGAATTATCGCCTATTACTTATCCTCATTTCGTGGATGCTATATGCTATGTGTACGCGCTTGGTCTTATCAGATCTCTGATTCCGAGGCTGGATGTAGCGCTTCATATTTTCGTTTCTGCACCTACTGGTTATACACGTTGTAATAACGACGGCTATTAATGGATATAACACGTTTGGTATTTAAAAAAAACACGGTATACACTTGGTAACTGGTATAACACGTTGGTATAACACGGTATAACTGGTATAACACGTTGGTATAACACGGTATAACTGGTATAACACGTTTGGGGAATAGTACATATTTCCAATTTGCTGTTAACTTGATTTAAAAAAATATTCATTATTAATAACAAATACTCAAAAAATATGCAGTTCACTGTACGCTGTCGTTATAATGATTATTTCCGACGAATAGTTTCCAATTCCAAGTTCGCATTATCACGTTTTCTACGAATTCATGTCTTATTTTGAGAGATGATATGACAGCGTCTGTAACCTTCCGACTAGTTGACGGTGTCCTATTACTGTATGTCTGCAGGCTATTTATTTGACTTCATTACGAAATTAATTCTGTACTTTACCGGCGTGGGCGACGTGCGTCAGTGCTTCGTACACGGAGGCTTCACACTAACGCACCCAAACTGTTGACGTGCCAGGGTGCATAGGTCTGCTAAAGCAATTATCCATTAGTGTGTGTTGAAAAATATTTATAGATCAGGCCAGAGCAAAAAAAACAAACGTTTTTCGAATGAAAAATTCCGAAGCTAAAGCCAGCGTTCTGTACTCGCCATGTCCGACGCGAATCTAGTTGAAAGAAATTTCCCAGTTTCCATGGCAACTTGGCAGTGGAGTTTAAATTGAAAATCAGAGGCTGTTTATGGCATGTCATGTGGTAAAATGGCTTAGTTTAATGTGAGTTAATGCGACACCTGACAGTTATTACGCATTTCATGCGAAAACCTATTGCAAGCATGCTCTGACTTTGATATGTTTGTTTTGTTTTACATTATGAAAACGGTAACATTGGCAATTCTGCAAAAGCTTTAGCATATATACTTCTGGAGGTAAAAACACGCAGAAATACAAAAGAAAAACGGCAGATATCTGACTTCGCGTATATAAACCTGCTGCTTTTAGTGCAATACTATGTAAATAGTCCATCAATTCTTCTTTTTTCTCTTTCCTCAAATTCTCTTTCTTCTCAATTTGACATCGTGAGTAACTAGATGTTGACTCACAACAGTACTAGTATAACTTGTAAGGAAGGGTCGTGGGTGAGTTACTATGAGGGCCCACATACATCTACACGGATTTTTTACTTTAGGGCAGGGATTACATATCGGATAGAGATCACCTATGTTAGCTACCTGTGTTAGCTACCTATGTTAGCTACCTGTGCTGATCACGGCGTTGTTTTACAGAAGTACGCAACTACTCCGCTGCACAAGGCTTGCTCACTCCCGAACCCAGTGCCATGGATACACCTGCTCTGTGAGGCAGGCGCAGACCCCAACGCTCAGAACTGCGATGGGCGCACTCCTCTACATATCTGCATGCTAGGTAGGTACCGTGACAGATAACGTGATCTGATGTAGGTGTTCACTGCAATAGTGTGGTCTGGGGTAGGTCTGGTCTGCGGTGGTTTGGTATAGGGCAAGTGTATGCTGCAATAGTGTGGTATAGGGCAAGTGTATGCTGTAATAGTGTGGTATAGGGCAAGTGTATGCTGCAATAGTGTGGTATAGGGCAAGTGTATGCTGCAATAGTGTGATCCCGGGTTTGCTACATTTGTCGGAGCAGCGAATTTAAATGAAAGTGCGAGAACACGTTAGCTATATGTTCGAATTCGGAGATTAGAAAGCGTCGTTTTGCGAAGTGAAGTTGGAAACGCGACTAGTCAGTAGCAGCTGCTGCTGCTGGTGCTGTCGCGCGATAAGATAATTAATTGAAACATTAAAGCTCTGTACTTAGTAAATCTACACTTGGCACGATGATGGATTCGAAGCACGGCGCCCGTTGACATTTAGCGTGCGAGTCTGTACACGCCTTCTCCGTGTTATTATGCTAATGACGTTAACAATTTTGTGGGGATTTTCGAGAATCCGAGCAGCTACATTAGGAAGCCGTATACTATCTCATCGCCAGCACGGGGTAATTAGCTTAGTTTCGCTCGCTGAGATTGTCCTATCGAATTTTACGCCTCGCTCATAACTTACTGTGGTTGGCTGAATACCAATTTGGAAGACGGAAAGAGTATGAAGAAAGAAACATATTATTCGTGTCCATATGGCAGAAGGAAGAGCCCCAGAACATTTAGGATGTGGAACAGAATAGCGAGGCAGGTCTAGCAACGTTAGGCGATTGTTCGCAAGAGTTCTATCTTTAATCTTTCGTTGCAGGAAATGTGCGCGACCACGAGGACGCCATCTTGCAAGGCGTCGAGTTGCTAATCAAATACGGATCCGACCTGAGCGCGGCCGACCGCGGCGGCAACACGGCGCTGCTCTACGTCAGGTCGATGCTGCAGGACGGTGCTTACGACGCTGCCAAAACATTCGCCGACGCTCTGCTGGGCAGCGGCGCCGACCCGAACTGCCGAAACTGCGAGCAGCGCTCCTTGCTGGCGTACAGTATCGGTTGCCTCGACAACAGCGTCGATCTAACCCGGTTGCTGATCAACTACGGTGCTCTCGTCTGGTCGATGGACTGGGACGACACCGAGCACTCGGCGTTCGCCTGGTACCTGAAGGCCGTCATCAATCAGACGCGCTACGAGAACTGCGCGCGCACGCTCGAGGTGCTGTGCCGCGTCATGGGCGCGCATCCGCAGACGATGTACTCGCACATGCTGCGCACTATGTTCCGGCACGTGCGCTGCTTCCGCGTGCTCGGTCCCGTCTTCTTGGAGATCAAGCACGCGATGATGCGCTACTGGACGGGGCCGCCGCAGCTGCGCTACCTGTGTTGGCGCGCCATCCGCCGCTCGATGCAGCCACACAACGTGGAGAGGCGCGCGCGCACGCTCGGCCTGCCGTCGCGACTCGAGCGCTACCTCACGATGGAGGACGTCACCTGTGATAAGTAGTAGACACGTTGCTAGAGTTAGGAGGAGGAAGAAGCAGAGGGGAAGGAGGAGGAGGGGGAGGAGGAGAGGTGCCTCTACCCGACCTCCTGCCCGCTCGACCGCCGCGCGCTCGCATTGTAACGTCGCCGTGACGTCGCGGACGTGACGCGGACGTGACGCGGCCATGACCCGGACGTGACGCAGACGTGACAGCGGACGTGACCTGGCCGTGACCCGGACGTGACAATGGACGTGACCTGGCCATGACCCGGACGTGACGCGGACGTGACGCGGGGCGACCGCCGGTCACCACCAATCACCAAAGTAGTTGTATACGATGTTCAGGGATTAGTGCTTGGAATGTTCTTAGCGTCGTTTGTTTTTGTTGTTGTTGTTGTTGTTGTTGTTGATGTTATTGTTGCGTCCGCTGCTGCGGCGACGATGCTCGTTCGACCACGTAGTCGCGAGAGCGGACAAGAATCGGTCGAGAATCGGTTTCCATGGAAACCAGCTGGAGAGCAATGCACACCAAAGCTACACTGGGAGGCACGTTTTAGGAACAGAGTAGTAACGCGCTGGGCAGCTGGTGATGTGTAAGGCAGTATGCATGCAGCATGCATACAGCTAGTAAGATCACCGTCTGCTGCGCTATAGGCTTCATATTGTCACCAAGAACATAAGATAAACTTAAGCGTGCTGTGTGTGTGGTCAACAGGCAGGTGATACGAATGATGAACTAAGTTCTATCACCCAAGCACAGCATGATGCACACTATATATATATATATATTATATATATATATATATATATATATATATATATTAGTCAGAAATAGCTAAACGAGCCAGGTCAAACAGAGGTCAGGGGGACATAGACCTTATCTGCTTGAGTAATGCATGTGCATCTCGTGGATTAATACGGTAAAATGTGTTTCCTCAAGAAGTTTTTGCGCTGTTCAAAGTTATAGTTTCTGATGTTATGGTTATCATAGAACACCTAAAAGCCGCATAAAAGTTCGTGGAATGTTTTCACAAAATATGTAGCATATTATTTTTAATGTTAACACGAATCTACAGTGGCATATTTTTTCAAATTGCTTAGTTTTCCGACGCGTCTTGTTAAGGTGTAATAACACCTCATCATCGCGCTCAGTATAATTATGTTAGAGCAGTTAATATAGTCAGAGGACACGTTCAGATGATTATTACGTATTTCTAAAACATATTGCACGCTTCGTGCTTATATATTATTCTCATTTTGATTCTATACGCTTGGCTTTTGCTGACATATGCTGCGACGAATAGTTGAATTGTAGTCTGACTGAAACGTAGCCCTTCCCACGGCAAATGAGAGCCTTCAGCGAACATGTTCATAGCCATGAGCTTAGTCTGCAGGAGCCACGCAAAAATGCTGGGCAATAAGGATTTCATTTTTAGAAATGTAGTTCCTTCGTGTGCGTTAATAAAGCAGCAACATTCAGCGCTAGCCGAAACCCGTCGCCAACGTTACGTTATATGCATGGCATGTTATTATTATATCTGATTATACATACCATCATTCGCTTACCACCGAAGCTGCCTCGCACTGGAAAGCTAATTCGAAGTGTGCGCGCCTTCTGCACGTGATGCGGTCTTTCAATTTCCTTCCACCCCCCCCCACCCTCCATTTTTTCGGAATTCAATCATTTGCACTGCGCGATATCGTTGCATTTCATTCAGTGTTGCGCGGCACGTGAAAGCCTGCATCTCTCCGGCAAATATCTCGTCGTGGCCTTACCGAGGCGGTGGGCTGCAGCAGCAGAAAGCTTTTCGCTGGAAATTCTCTTACGGCGGGTTCGATCGGAGAGACGCGAACAAAGGCTGCGGCGTGTCTTCTAAAAAAATTTCCCGCGCGCGAATTCGCCGGATATATTTTTCAACCTCCCAGCGTTCGTCGGCTGTCGGCAGCGACGTCGCCGCCGTAAATATAATATAATTCGCGGTTTTCTAATCACGGCAGATTTTCTAAGCGCACAGCATTTCTGGCGACGTTCTTGCGGCGCGCACGACAGCCGCGGCAGACGACGACGCGCATGGTTAACGCTATAGCGAAATGCTTCGTCTAAATATATGATGAGCAGAAGTCTGGCTGCAACTTTAATAGGTGTGCGTGCGTGCGTGCGTGCGTGCGTGCGCGTGCGTGCGGGTGTGTGCGCGTGTGCGTGTGTGTGGGTGCGTGTGTGTGCGGGTGCGTGCGTGCATGCGTGCGTGTGTGTGTGTTTATATGCTGTTTTGCAATCTGGACTCCCCACCCGCCTTGTGAAGTCGTTATAAATCAAAGCAATGTTATCAAACAGAGGTGAAATAAAGGTCACCGTAATTCGTCGTTTTAAGCTTTCTATTCTATTTCTACATGGGATCTAGTGCTGCTATTACTATGGCTGATTTCTACAGTATTTAAATTATTGCAATTGAAATTTTCAACTTCGACTTTCGAATAAGTACACAGGGAGTTAGACACCGTGTCATTTCCCTTTGAAATTCGAGCCACTGAAAGGGCAATGTTGGATCTACGAAATACGTCGAATGCCTAATTGAGATATGAACCCGAATGTTTATCAACGACTGTTCTATAAAGCAGCTTTGACATTACGAGTAGTTTTTTATATTTACTGAGCAAGAAACATGTACTCATTCACGATGACAGTTCGCGTTACATTAATTACATTAATACATTAATTACATTAATACATTAATTAGCCGTAATTAGTCTCAACCCCAAACAATTACTTGAGCGCGTGTGACAAATCTTTGCATTTTTGCAACAGCCTCTGCGTTAGGCCGTCATCCGTAGCGTAACATATACAGTAACCCTTTCGCAGATGAAGCCACCAGTTACTATAGATTCCCCCCCCTTCTTCTGCAACGCTGTATTTAAGCCGATTAAGTGAAATGTCATCTCAAAAGGTTTACTTCTAAGATCATCATTCTTTGTGTTTTTCCTTTCACCCAAGGGCATCCTCGTCTCGCGAACTAATCTTATTCATTTTACGACGTGCCCTAGGTCGTAAAAATGCGCGCACGCCAATGTCTTCACAAATTCAGTTTTAATTACCGCAGTGCGTCGTATTGTATTTATATAATTATGGTTTTTTTTATAGTTGTGTATTCGCTCGATTTGTGGTATTCTCGCAGGAGGAAATACAAGTTTGGAACCCGAAAAACGCAGAAGAAAATGGAATTTTTAATAAAGAATAAAATAATGGTTTTGTAAATGTTGAAAATTGCCAGACGCACGCACGCGTGTTCCCCGGGGACGGCTCCATCTCTCACGCGATTGCAAACTTCGGTAAAATCGTTATCTCATGCACAGGCACGCTTTTTATATATATTGCCTCGACGCAAGAACCAGCACATAAGGTTTGACGTAGACACTTATACATTTGCATCACTGTTTGCTCCCTGCCTTCACGCGGCGGTGGGGGGGTTGGGGGTCTCACCGCGTGTTCCACTAACTATAAGCTACAGATGCCAAAGCCGTAGAGAAAATATAGTATATTATGTAACAGAATGTCTCATCGAAATATATACGATGAGCAGAATTTTAACTGTAGCTGTAATAGGTGTGTGGTAAACACCAGAAAATGCATTCTGCTTGCTTGGGGACCAGTCACGTGTTTTTTGTGATAACCAAACTAAGTCGTTTTCCCACGTCAGCACTTGGCACTGCATTTATCTTATTTATTTTGGGACAAAGAAGGTTATAAAGTGTAATGTAATGTAATCCTGTCTTGATGCACACGGGGAGCAACGGGATTTTATTGTGACGCCCTTTGGCCGTGTCAGGATATAGTTTTGTCACTGTTAGAACTTGAGCATTAGACTAAGTGCAATGCTCGACAATGCTTCTATTGCTTTAATCGTCGTATATACGTACAAGCAAATATTCATTCTTCATTCTTCACCTAATATATCTATAGGAAATATCATAAAATAATATTTAGCACAATACGCACAACAAGCGTGTGGTTTCATGGGTTATACTTTGACTACAATGTAAGCGTTCACATCTCACCACACCTAATTTGAATGATAGAGCTATCTAGCTACACACACACGAATGTACAATGTATGCAGAAACATCTCTTGCGTAAACAAACTGCACTGTTGTTGAGTACGGTTGTTTCAGCGGGAGAGAAGGCAGACGAACTATTCTTGCTATCTTACTTTTCGTGCAAATATCAAGTAAATATGAATATATCACGTTTCCGCTGGAGTTGACGGTTAGCAGCGACGCCGCTGCCGAGCCTGATCGCAGATTCACCTGTAATTAGTGAAACTACACCTGAATATCGTCGGTTTTCGGTCATCGGCTCTAACTCACAAATTTCTCAAAAGTCTAACGATGATTATACTAGCAGGATCTACCCAGATAGAAGGTCTATCGCATTTACACCTAATCAATGCAGGTTCTAGGGCTTGGCGAAGCGTCACGCAACTTCACCGCAGTGGGTACACATTGATAACGCTATTCTGATAATGCTGTCATTTGGAACCGTCAGAAAGATATGCCTCGTTTGCATATACCTGCGTGACGTCACCCTAATTAGTTAATTGGAGCTTGCAAACGAGACCGATGTGCGCAGTTTGATTGCGTGTGCGAACCTGTATTACAAACCCCCATAGAACAGGAATCCAGAGCGTATACTGACTACGTAGTTCTTCTCTTGTTGAGTACGATATTCACTAGTAGTAATTAATTACTTCGCGTGTGTACACTCAGCCGTGTTAGCATCTTTCTAGTGTAGATATAGAGCGATATGTAGCGCGCGCACTTTTATTCTAGACCAATAAGTTGTGTCCTCGAATTTTTTTATTATCTGACGCTAGCCTAGTCTAGGCAGGTAGACGGTCAGTAGCAGTAAAAAAAGTTATCGTACGAAAATTCGCCATATTTGTCTATGGATGGAAATTGACGCTAGAATAGCGTCAGAAAATAGAAAATTTCTAGAGCACAACTCGTTGGCCTGACTTTTACTCATGATCACTGTGAACTCAAGGTTTTGTCTGTGTAGACTGACGCGAGTCGTCTTGTTGCTCTGTGAAGATGTCATACCAAGAATGCATTTATTGAGGTCTGCGGTGTGCCGGACACTCTCGCTCGTTCACGGCTATCTCCAATCACGTCTCCGCGTCGGGTTTTAGATGCACTTATTGCGCGTGCGAGATATCAAAGCTATATACAAATACACTGTGTTTGTATTATATCTATGGAGATATCTACCAGTAATGCATTAATTGGCACGCGCTTGAGGGTGAAAATACGCAGGGATCTGCCTCCAATTTGTTGTTGAATGATAAAAACAAGTGCCACAGGTATCCCTCGTAGCTAAATAAAACATTGCCGTGCGATGACGTTAATTGGATGTAGTTGTTTACTGATGTGGATGAGTCGGTAGCCTGTGTGGACGAAAGCGTTGCACCGTGTTTGTGCCGATGCTATATGTAAATTGAGAAGGCGTGTGTGCGTGTCGTTCTCAACGTATTGCGCATTGGCGAAAATTGTTGAATTTTTGGACATATCTTTAATATCGATTTTTTTCGTGTCACGTACTGTATTGATAACTTGTGAGCCATGTAAGTCATACTTCGCTTGCCTTTACACGTAACATGCGTTTCGGTTCGACCACACCTGCGGTGGAGCGTCGCGAGGTTGCAAAGGTACAGACATCCTCCTCAGAGTCCATGAAAATTGTGATGTGGTTTGACCATAGATATATACATTATATACATATATGTGTGTGTATATATCTATGGTTTGACGATCCCTGCTGGATATGTAGTTAATCCTGAGGAGTGGTCACGTGCCGCACGACTTCCGCTACATGATCGTTGTCACGTGACTCTGTTATACCGCGTTCGTTCGTTCGTGTTGTTACATATATGACTTCTGCTTTTTTTCGCTTTTGTACATAGTATATGAAAATCAAGGCTTAAATAATTGTAATGGTTATACTTTTGTATACGTGCTTTATGATATGCATCGCCTTGCTGAAGCTTGGGCAAATAAATGTTATCAAAAATCATTCTGTAGTTAGCGTATGTATGCTCACACACGCGCACACGCAAACATGTATGTGCGCACCTAATCACAAGCAAACGAAATTAAAGCACCAAGCGTTCAAACAACACGAATTACAAAATTTTCATCAACTTTCTATTTTTTTAAATTATGTAATTTATTAAAATTGTTTTTAACTCTTTTAAAAATTCCTATTAATACGCTTGCTACACAAAAGCCTTTAATCACGTTCTAGGATACCAATCAATCATGATTTTGAATACAGGCCACCCCGTTTAGAGATTTACCATCAAGCTCCATTTATAAGCAAGCTATATTATGCAGTTACCGTGCTGTCAACTCGCTCCACATTGAACGTATAGGAACGACCGTAAAAAAAATTCCCTTGGCAGTCAACGGCGACCGAGGTCGGAGCGCCTTTTACATGTACATTAGCATAGCCGGGAATCGTGGCGCGATGCTGCAAGCAAAGTGAATTATGTACATCAGATTTTACTATGCACAGGTGCCGTCGGCACGTCCGGCTCCAGTTTGAACGTATAAGAACGGCCGAAGAATATTATCGTGGCAGTCAACGGGGACCAACGCCCGAGTCTCATTAATATAGTCATAGCGGGGAACCCAGGGCGTGATTCTACGTGCAAAGTGAATATTATCAGGAGTCTATCAAAATTTTGATAGACTCCTGATATTATAGATAGGATTTTATCAAGCACGCGTGCTGTCGGCTAGCCCGGCTCCACTTTGAGAGTATAACAACGGCCAAAGAAAATTCTCTTGGCAGTCAACGGCGACCGACGTCGCAGCGTTATTTGCCCGTACATTAGCATAGCTGGGAATCGTGGCGCGATGCTGCGAGCGAAGTGAAGCATGTAGATCAGATTTTACCATGCACGCGTGCTGTCAGCCTGCCCGGCTCCAATTTGAACGTATAAGAACGGCCGAGAAATAATATCTTGGCAGTCAACGGCGACCGACGTCGCAGCGCCATTTGCCCATACATTGGCATAGCTGGGAATCGTGGCGCGATGTTGCGAGCAAAGCCGTAAACCTTTATCAGTTGAAATTTGTTTATAATTAGGAGAGCGCCCTAGCATGTAGGGTACAAAACACCTACGTTATGCCCTCGCGTCCTTCCCTTTGCCTCCCCTGTCCCTCGCTCAGCCTCCTTCTTCTTCTACCGCCCCAGCTACCTTCCCTGCCAGATTTTCTTCAGTCTCCCATCCCCTCTCTCTTTCAACAAGCTATATTATGAAGTTTGCCTCGGACGGCACTGCACGCCTAACACGGTGCGCGCGCATGCGCAATATCTCCCGAGAGAAATCGTATTCTGCAAAGATTATGCATTTAAAATAAAGAGGAGTTATCCTAGCATAGATTTATATGATAATAGTCCATCAGTAGACATCTTTTAAGAAATAGGAGGCAGATCTTGCATGTAAGGTCCCCGCTGCGTATATACCAGCCGTAAGGTCCCCGCTGCGTAATACCAGCCGGTACACAATCTGGCTACGTTAGTGTGTTAGCGCATGCGCAATATCTCACCAGAGGAGCTATATGTTGTGATGAACATGCTTTTAAAATGGTTAGGGCGTATCTCAGCATAGATTTCCCTAATAAACTTTTATCAATTAACATGTGTTTATAATTAGGAGAGCGCCCTAGCATGTAGGGTACAAAACACCTACTTTATGCCCTCGCGTCCTTCCCCTTGCCTCCCCTGTCCCTCGCTCAGCCGCCTTCTTCTTCTACCGCCCCCAGCTATATCTTTCCTGTCGCATTTCGTCAGTCTCCCATCCCCTCTCCCCCTCAGCAAGCGATATCATGAAGTTTGCCTCAGACGGCACTGCACGTCTAACACGGTGCGCGCGCATGAGCAATATCCCTCGAGAGAAATAGTATTTTGCAAAGATTATGCATTTAAAATGAAGAGGAGTTATCCTAGCATAGATTTATATGATAACATTCCATCAGTAGACTTCCCTTAAGAAATAGAAAGAAGACCTATGTAAGTTCCCCGCACCATATACCAGTCAGTACACAATCTGGCTACGTTACTGTGTTAGCGCATGCGCAATATCTTACTAGAGAAGTAATATTTTGTAATGATTATGAATTTAATATGGTTATGGGGTATCTCAGCATAGATTTCTGTAATTAATCGTTATCAGTAGACCTGTGTTTATAATTAGGAGAGCGCCCTAGCCTGTAGGGTGCAATATTACTACGTCATCCCCTCTCGCCCTTCCCCCTTGACTCCTTCTTTATCTACCGCCCCCAGCTATCTTCCCTACTGCATTTCCTCAGTCTCCCACCTCTCTCTCTCTCTCTCTCTCTCTCAGGAAGCTATATTATGCAGTTTTCCTCAGTGCGTGATGAACGCCTGAAACGGTGCTGGCGCATGCGCAATATATCTCCCGAGAAGAAGAATATTTTGGAAAGGTTATGCATTTGAACTGGAGAGGAGGTATTCTAGCATAGATTTATATGATAACATTCTATCAGTACACCTCACTTAATAAATAGGACGAAGACCGTGCATGTAAGGTTGTCGCTGCTTATAGCAGTCAGTACACAATCTGGCTACTTTACTGTGTTAGCGCATGCTCAATATCTCACCAGAAGAGTTATATTTTGAGATGATTAGGCATTTAATATGGTTATGGGGTATCTCAGCATAGATTTCAGCAATTAATTGTTATCAGTAAGCCTGTTTTTATAATCAGTAGAGCGCCATAGCCTCTAGGGTGCAAAATTCCTACTTCGTCTCCCCCCCCCCCGCCCTTCCCCTTGCCTCCCATGTTCTTCGCTCCGACTCCTTCTTCATCTACCGCCCCCACCTATCTTCCCTACTGCCTTTCCTTAGTTCCCCATCCCTCGCTTCCTCAGCAAGCTATATTACTTAATTTTCTACAGTCCTTACTGCACGCCTGAAACGGTGCTCGCGCATGCGTTATATCTCCCAAGAAAAATGATATTTTGCAAAGATTATGCATTTAAAATGAAGAGGGGTTATCCTAGCATAGATTTAAATAATAACATTCTATCAGTAGACTTCACTTAAGAAATAGAAAGAAGACCTATGTAAGTTCCCCGCACCATATACCAGTCAGTATACAATCTGGCTACTTTACTGTGTTAGCGCATGCGCAATATCTTACTAGAGGAGTTATATTTTGTAATGATTATGCATTTAATATGGTTATGGGGTATCTCAGCATAGATTTCTGTAATTAATCGTTATCAGTAGTCCGGAGTTTATAATTAGGAGTGCCCTTGCCTGATGGGTGCAAAACTCTTACTTCATCCCCTCCGGTCCTTCCCCCTTACCTCCCTTTTCCCTCGCTTAGCTTCCTTCTTCTTCTCCCGCCTTCAGCTATCGTACCTGGGGCCTTTCCTCAGTCTCCCACCCCTCTCTCCCTCAGCAAGCTATATTATGCAGTTGGTTTCAGTCTGTAATGCATGCCTGAAACGGTGCTCGCGCATGCCCAATATCTACCGAGAATAATATTTTGCAAAAATTATGCATTCAAAATGAAGCGGAGTTATCCTAGCATACATTTATATAATAGCATCTCATCAGTAGACCTCACTTTAGAAATAGAAGGAAGACTTTGCATGCACATGTTGTTACATACATGACCTCTCGCTGTTGTACATAGTATATGAAAATCAAGGCTTAAATAATTGTAATGGTTATACTTTTGTATACGTGCTTTATATGCATCGCTCTGCTTGGGCAAATAAATGTTATCAAAATTCATTCTGTAGTTAGCGTACATGCGAACATGTAACATGCACACCTAACCACAAGCAAACCATATTAAAGCACCGAGCATTCCCACCACACGAGTTACTACATTTTCATCAAGTTCCTATTCTTTTAAAGTATGTAATTTGTAATATTTAAAATGTTTTTAATCTACTATTATTATGCTTGCAACACAAATACCTTTAATCACGATCTAGGCTACCAACCAATCATGATTTTGAACATGGGCCCCCCGTTTAGAGATTTACAATCAAGCTCCATTTATTAATTACTGAAAATCGAATTAATTCCCTCTGTCTAGTTTATTGTCAGTGATAACAAGTACATGTTAGTAAACATCACGTATGAAAACCTATTATGAACAAAGTAGGTTTTATTAATTCATAATTAGATCCAAATACATGTTTGCCAAAGCCGTACTTTTTAAAACATATATTAATGAGATTTTTTTTTATCAAAAGCAGAGAAAGAACTAACCACAAAAGTACAGTATGGCAGTTGTATTGGTCATCAAATATGAAATACCATTAGTTCAGTTTTTCACTTAATCTCCAAGAAATAAGAATGTTTCATTATAGAAGATAAGCCTCATTAGAAATGTGACAGATGACATAGCTTGGTTTACCAACATTTATTTCTAACTTACAAAGATGTACACATTTTAATCCCAACAACTGCAATCTGTAATAGTAAAAAATTATCTACAAGATCTATAGTGTACCAACTTACTGCCAAAATTTCATAGACAAGTGTATATTTAGTAATTACCATTAAATATAATGAAGTGAAATGATAACAATGAGAAGATGAGACTAACACACACGCACCACACATTTCACAACGCCCCTTAAAAATTCATGTGCAAATACAAAATCTTTACATATGCACCCCACCCACCAGCCACACACATGAACATGTAAAATGCACTCCATCAGATGGCAGCACCATAACCTTATTATCATAAACAAAAAGACCGTTGGAAACGAGATAAACTAATAGCAGAAAGCTGAAGTCACAAGGCCCAAGGTTACCATATGCTAAGCAATCCCTTATGCTGCTGCCATCTGGTGAACGAAACTCATGATGACATTGAATTGCTGAAAGAGGCTTCTAGCTGTCTGACATCAGATCGCAAGGTCGTTTTGCTAACGTAGTATGACATCTAGTCTTTAGACGACTCTTCGGACCTCAAAGAATCTCTTCAGATAGTAAACCTGCCCAACTGTCATCGTCACCAACACCAGAGCCTCGAAGAACGACCATAAAACAACCCTGGAGTTTGTGTTCTCATTGACTGAAAGAAACCACAATGCAACAGCTTGGTAACATGGAACTACGACATATTAAACAAGAACTACATCAATAATCCAATTTCACGTCTCAAAAAATGCATGGACTGCGAGACTTCTTGGGACTACCAAATATACTGTTTACGTAAGGTAGCAATTACAATTATGAGTTTCATAGTACTTGCTTCACCATCTTTCAAGTTTAAAAAAACCGTTTACACATCAGACAAATACACAATGTCAACCTGGCTTAAAATCTGAGTTAAGTATATGTCCAACACAATGTATAACGTTACAACAATAGTATATTCGTAGGTACGTATGTTTTGGTTCAGATTATTTACTAGAGTGGTAGCCTGTCATTCCACTCACACATTCACACTACTTGAGTGGACCATGCGTAAATGACCGGGGAGTGGGACCAGTTTAATTAATTACAGTAATGATGGAAGTGTCAATAATAGTTTTAAGGCATATTTATATGCAAAAATATATCTTTAGTGGTAAATAAACTAACTACGTGTTTTAATGTTGCTATTATCGAAACCTATCGATTGCTCAGTGACCTATCGGTGGTAGTTATTGATGTTTCACTTTCTCATTGATGAATTGCTACCGAGCCAAATACCAATGCAATTCTGGGGGTCCTCCCCCATAAATTTTTTTAAAATTAGATGCTTGCAGACGCGGTCTGAGGCACAGAAATTTCGAAAACTATCTTGTTCATGAATGCCGCTATTGCGCACGCGCATGAATAGTACATTTGTTGGCCACGGGATGGCGAGCTCAGACAGTAAAAGAGCATCACTAGCCGCGGGGAATTTTTTCGCTGTCCGCGGGTGGCAGTAGACCACCCCCACCCCTAAAGTTTTCTCAATGGATTTGAACGATTTGGAAAATTGATAATTTTTGAAAGTGAAAAACGCGGGGAAACCGCGGATCCGCAGGAGATTCTCATCTCTGATACTTACTGGATCTATGAATGCGATCTCGGATTTCCATGTACTCTTGCTCATGTTTGACACCGACCAAAGAACTGGACAGTTGGTTCACCATGTCCTCAAGCTTCTTGTGCTGTTCTGTATCAAGGAAAACTATCCATTACTACGTGTATGCACATCTCATCACATTTCTGCATTTAAGTTGGAATGGTTGGAAAGAAACATCTGGTGTTGCTCTTACCCATGCCATAATATATGGGGTTGTGGTCTGTAGGCAACTAAACTTTTTGCTTTTATTATTTCATATAATCATTTCAGCTATACATAGAAAACTTTCATTTAAGCTATACACACGATAATACACTGAAAATGCAGAGCAAATAAAATTTCTACTGGTAACACTTTAACCAGACCAATTAAGATTCTTGCACCAAGCAGACAATTTTCAGGATCAGTATAAACACTTTACATCAAGAGATGAAAATTTGTACAACATATGCACCCAAGACATTCTAGTAATGGAGCTAAATGATTTTCTACTGCATGACTTTAGCTTTTCTAGCTATGGTGAGTATTATAAGGTTTTAAATGACACTTGTACTGTGGCAGGTTGGTTTAATCAGTAGCAAGGTACACAGTGGCTACTTTTGCAAGGTTAAAATTAAAGAACTCTGCACCACAAATGCACACTCTAGCACTAGGTTTGCAATCATATACTAAACTAAGTGAGTCTATAAGATGTAATTATGACTACGAATTACATAATTAAGGATTGCTCATTTAAAAAAAAGTCAGTACTAAGAGATAAATTTTGCATACCGCCTGTATCTTCTCCACTGCTGATTTTCTTCTCATCAACGTCCATCGAGAACATGACAATCTTTGGCGTGACGGTCGACATTACGTTGCTAAAGCAGTAAACGTAGGTGCCATCGATATGCGCCGCAAAGGTATACTTGCCATTGGATTCTCGCTCTCCTGTGTATATTACCTTTCCATCCGGTCCTGTTATCTAAAAAATAAAAATTTTGTAGTAACTGAACAAGTGCACATACATCCTGCGTATATAGTCTTAGCTGGGTCCGATACATTGTGGCTGTCATAAAATTATGACCGCAGTGATTGCGGTAGCATTACCATGTCCAGGGGTCGAAATTCGCTATATAGTAATTGCGCAACACAAGTGTTTTTCACTGAACGCAAGCGATGTTTCGTAGCAACTTGAGGCTGCCACAAGTCAACAATATGCCAGCTACTTACGTATTTAGAAGTCAGACCCATTTTATTTTGATTTCTGTACAAAATTGAAGCGTGAATGACTCTGAATCAGAGCAGGAAGACACAGAAGACATAGAATAAATCATAAACTAAAACAGGGAGGAAGGGAAGGGGTACTGCCAGTTTGGAGAGCAACAGAGGTAGGTGCAAGTAATTGTTTAAGCGAACTTGTAGCATGTGCAAGTGTGTTTTTTTGCGAATTTCGACCCCTGCATGTCTCAATGATATGTAATAACTGCTAAACTCAGGGTTAGACACTAACCATTTTAGTTCATTAGTCCACGAGACTAGTAAAAGAAAAAATGTACTAGTCCTTCCAAGATTCTACTAGTCCTACCGAAAGACTCTTACTAGGCACAGAGCGACGAGTATTGTGATTTGCCAGGAGGTAGGTGGGGTAGGAAGGTGGAGCCCCCTTCTGCTAGGGGGTACAGGGGGTCTCTCCAGGGTACAAGGGGTGTCCCCCAGAAAGGTTTTGTAAAAGACATTCAATTGTATAAAACACATGTAAGTTTGATATGGATCATAAGATTA